ACTTTAACAATCATTAAAAATCTCATTGAATCTGTCACTAACGTTTTGATTGAAACTTTAACAATCATTAAAAATCTCATTGAATCTGTCACTAACGTTTGATTAAAAATCCAGTTTTTCTCAGAATTTGTCAGTTGAAAGGAAGACCAGACTTCTCTTTAATGATGAGCAATATATAAAAATTGTGACAAAAACTCTTTTAATATAAGTTGGTTTTTATCTAATTTTGAGTATAATTTGACGTAAGCTCAATGAGTTAGACCTGACATCGAACTAGGTGGTGAATTGAAGAATCAAAATCTTATCTAATTCTAAAAAAACAGTAAATAGAGGTAAACAAAAGTTAAAAAAAGAAAATTCTACATAAACTAAATATAAAATACTTACAGAAGTAGTTTTAATGGCAGTATTCTTTAATCGATGTCCCTCGTCACAAATTACAATATCAAAATTCTCTCCCTTGATTAGATCATACGTTCGTACAAACATTTCGTAGGATACGATTAATACTGGATAGATATTGGACGATTTATATTCCTGTAAAAAACAGTTATAATAACAATGAGCCAACCTAGAGGGTGTAAATAGTTGAGATGTGATTAATACTGGATAGATATTGGACGATTTATATTCCTGTAAAAAACAGTTATAATAACAGTGAGCCAACCTAGAGGGTGTAAATAGTTGAGATGTGATTAATACTGGATAGATATTGGACGATTTATATTCCTGTAAAAAACAGTTATAATAACAATGAGCCAACCTAGAGGGTGTAAATAGTTGAGATGTGATTAATACTGGATAGATATTGGACGATTTATATTCCTGTAAAAAACAGTTATAATAACAATGAGCCAACCTAGAGGGTGTAAATAGTTGAGATGTGATTAATACTGGATAGATATTGGACGATTTATATTCCTGAAAAAAACAGTTATAATAACAATGAGCCAACCTAGAGGGTGTAAATAGTTGAGATGTGATTAATACTGGATAGATATTGGACGATTTATATTCCTGTAAAAAACAGTTATAATAACAGTGAGCCAACCTAGAGGATGTAAATAGTTGAGATGTGATTAATACTGGATAGATATTGGACGATTTATATTCCTGTAAAAAACAGTTATAATAACAGTGAGCCAACCTAGAGGGTGTAAATAGTTGAGATGTGATTAATACTGGATAGATATTGGACGATTTATATTCCTGTAAAAAACAGTTATAATAACAGTGAGCCAACCTAGAGGGTGTAAATAGTTGAGATGTGATTAATACTGGATAGATATTGGACGATTTATATTCCTGTAAAAAACAGTTATAATAACAGTGAGCCAACCTAGAGGGTGTAAATAGTTGAGATGTGATTAATACTGGATAGATATTGGACGATTTATATTCCTGTAAAAAACAGTTATAATAACAGTGAGCCAACCTAGAGGGTGTAAA